CAATTACGGGCATTTCCCTTGACATAATATTCTTATAATCTATCAACTTTTCTTCTTTAAAACGAAGTTTACAAACATTTGCACTAATAACATTATTACATAAAACATTTTTCACAAAATACATCAAAACTTATCTGTATAGGCGCATGTGTTGAGCATGTATAAACATCGTGGACAATAAATTCAGAAATAAAGGGAAATAACTCGTAAGAGCATATAACGTAATCAATCAAACTATTTCCATTCGAACTCATATTGGTAAAAACCACCAATCCCAGCATCGTCACCACAACGCCCATTTACAATTTTAAGTGAGCTACTTCTACATATATCTAATAATTTTATACCCGAGGTATTGACAGTTTCATCCATAGAAAATCTATGAGGAAAATTAGATTTCATTAATACAATATTCATTTTCATCTAACACATGTATAAATCTATCAAAATCTGTACAGTTTTGTAAAATATCAGACCTTTTTCCGCATCTTGAATTCAAATCGCCAATTATCGACACGGTACCTAATTTCCGTATATTTCGAATGTTTAATTCAAGTGACTCAAAAAATCCAAATTTCATGCAAATTATAATATATAGAGTTACTGGGTGGTATATAAAGAAAAACAAACATACATATCTTGTAATAATCGAAAAAAATGCTTGCAAAATTTAACCCATATATTATACCTGAGTAATCTATTTCACTAATACTTATCCATCCTTATATATTTCTTTATAAAACAAACAAATACCGCCATGACCCCTCTTAGACTTTAAGCTTTCCCTTCTAGGAACTTCTACTGATTTATACCCATCAATACAATAAGTGTCTTTATTACGCTGCCAAGTTTCAGAAAAAAATAAAACATCAAAATTTGTCACAAAATTCAAAAAGTCTTCATCATTCAAACAGTTTTTCAATCCTTCTACATTCCCAGGAAACAATGTTCAAATCACACTTTTCTCCGTGACCCTAGCTTGATCCTTTTTGTTAGTTGATGCTGGTTCCTGGCTTGAACAAGCTTGTTGTCGATGAACAGCTTGTCTCGCTACAAGTACCGCCCCTTTTTTCCGCTCCTCGTGCCTTGATCATTTCCGGTATTAGAGCGCGTCGTCTGTCCATGACCTCTTGTGGGAACTGATCTGAAACATTAAAGGGAGAATTGCGCAGATTTACTTTTCTAAGTTGTTGTTTAAGCATGAATTTAGATTCTTTGTCTTTAAACCGGACAACAATAGGTCGAATTTTTCCAGGTGTAAAAGCTCCGATCCTATGGGCTACATCTACAGCTATTTTGGTTTCCGGTCCAGATATATTCAAAACTTGCGAGCAAAAGTCATACACTTTATTAATACAGTTCTCAGTAACCGGTTTATTTGGTAGAAAAGGTGTGCTATTATTGAATACTTGCAGTGCTGATGGTGACAAACATAACAACATTGCCGGCAATTGTACTCGCCTTTGTGCTTGACCCGAGAAAAACTGACGAAACAATTATGCATGTCATTCCCACTTTACAAGCGTTGAATTCACTAATAAACCCTGTCTTGTACAGTGCACATATCAAGGAAATACGAACTACGATAAAGGAAAAACTACTCTCATGCCTCATGGTCAAAGAAGACCAATGTAATGTAAACGGCGGTGAGAGCAATACAAATGAAGCTATAGGTCAATCAAAATCAGCATGCATGCAATCTTACGATACTGGCTCAAGTTCAATATCTGGTTCAATTACAATCGAATCAGCTGATTTAAAAGAATAATTAACATTTTAGTTCGGAAAAATGTTGATCGTACCGTAATATGGTTTGCCATTGCCATGTTGCTTGCGACAACAAAAATTTGCACAAAGTCAACAATGTTTCAATTTTGTGTCTGTTATGTTTCTCTTCTTTTTATATTTAACACTTAGCAATCATAAATTATTCAAAACATTTCCCAAGACATGCCGGTAAAAACAAGAAAATTATCAATACTTCTTGAAAACCTACTGTTTCTAGATCCATGAGATCGCTCACATATAAATTTCACAAAAGTTAAACCACGGACTAGAAACCGTTTTCGACGACGGCAGGAACTTCCGTCTTATCTCAAGTCGTCAGAAAAATGGCATTAATCTGTTAAGAAGCATGCTCACCATACGAAATCGGCTCTGAAATTTGCCATGTTATGTGTGTCTTTATCATAATATTATGACGATTTTATCAAATGGTGTAAAAAAGCATAAGTGTAGCTAAAATGGTGCATTTTAATTTATTGTATTTATAAATGTTGATAGTGCATTTAGGTGTATTTTATCATCTTTGATGTTGCTGTTTTTGTTGTTGTTGTTATTGTTGTTTGTGTTTGTTTGTTTGTGTTTTTATAATCAAACTGTATATTTGTATAAGATCGGTCATACACGATAACATGTACATGGAAACTGATAACTGTTAAATAAGGCGTATCAAGCTATGCTCACGAGCTGTATCGTGATATTATATGACTCAAAGAGGAAATATATTTCTTCAAACAGATGATAAAATAAAATTCACAGTATGATACTAATTGGATAGATAGGTGAAATTTGACGTCCATTATAAATTGCCAATTCCCGCAGATTTTAATTTCTTTAGTTTCCGATTGTTTATCATAAATCGCATTGATATAATTCACATAGCTGTCATGTTATTTCATTGTTGTATATAAAGTTTCATTATTATCATCATCATCATCATCATCATCATCATCATCATCATCAAAAAGTATTTTATTAAATAGTTCTGAAAAATGTCTGATTATACAAAATCAGCATTTATAAATGCCCGTATGTTATATACATAAAAAGATATGATGTTTAATAGTTCATCAGTGTATTTCAGTACAATCTTGTATGGCATATTTTTACTAATTGTTAAATGTACTATCAAAAACAATTTGTTAATGTTCCGTAAACTTGATGTGCAAAGCACTTTTTTTAAACAAATTCCATATACAAGTAGTAATTTTGCAATCAACAATTGTGTAAAATTCTTGACAGGAAAATATTTATCACAGCTTGATATGTAATACATGTACTATGCTTCACAATCTGTGACTCGATATCAATATACTGTGAACCGAAATCCATATTCTTCGCTTCGAGACACATATAATGAGACTCCAGATCTTTATACTTTGCCTTGAGATCCATATACTGTGAATCGACATTTGTATACTATGACTCGAGATCCATATACTGTGACCCGAGATCCATATAAATCTCACCTTGATGTCGCAGACTTTTGATCAGGTGGCAGTGTTCACACTTCGACTAATTGAGATGAAAATATGTTGGACTTTAATTGACGGGACAAGTCATTCCTTTCGACTAAACAGAAGTCTTGGTCAGTCAATATTTGACCTAAGCGGAGTTTAAGTACAAATACAATGAAGGTAAATTTGACGGTACTTTAAAAAATTCTTCGACTAACGAGGGATTTTGAGTAAGGCGAGTTTGACTTATTGAGGGTCAACTGTACTGTGACTCGAGATCCATATACTGTCAGTCGAGATCCATATTCTGTGAGTGGAGATCCAAACTTAAACTCAAGATACATATATCGTCACTCGAAATCCATATACTATGACTCGAGATCCATAAACTTTGACTCGAGATCCATATTATGAGACTCGAGATCCATATACTGTGACTCTTTTAGCTTCTGGTATCAGATGATATATTTCTATTTACTATTATTCCTAATAGTTTTCATTTTCAGGTTAACATGCTTTATAATTATATTACTTACTGGGGGTGTTAGATTAATAAAATAAGACCAAAAAAACACTTTTGAAAACATTTGTAACCATGTTTCGACATTAAATGGTGAAATTGTAGACGTTGTTGATAATTTTACATATCTTGGTGCTGTAGGGAAAAAATGTAAAGAAAAAATGTTAGATAATCAAACTCGTGAGGTATACAATGTAACATCTGCAGAGCAACACCTTTTTGTATACCTTTTTTTGTGTTGCTCTACAGAGGTAAAGTTGATATCTTTACTTTGGGAAGTAATTATGTAATTATGTTGTTGTTGTTGTTGTTGTTGTAAAGAGGTACCGGTAATTGAAATGCACCCAATTTTTTTTTTTTTTTTTTTTTTTTTTTGAGTTTGAGTTTGAGTTTGAGTTTGCATGTAATATAGATATTATTGAATCTGAATATCATGTTCTTGTCATGTGGTCGATATTTATATATCTGAAATATTTATTTTGTTGTTAATCTGAAGGGTTTATATATATTGTCCTCGATGTCATATTTTGCTTTAAAATGTTCTGTATTGTATTTCGAATAAATAAATCCATGAATAAAGTGTCTTCCTTTAACAATTCTACTGACTCCTAGGCGACATTTTGGCCTGGGAAAAGATTCATTTGTATTACAGTTTTCTGTTCAAAATTTACTAAAAAATGAGGGTGTAACCAAATTAACTTAAATGTTTCCAGAACCTCCCACAAACAGGACAAAGCAAAATAGTTTATCACGCCTTATAAAATGTAACAACTGGCCCGCCAGCGTTGATAATCCAATATAAATATTTTTGGAGCCATGAAGCCACTGGTCACTATGATAATAAAATCAGCTATTCATATTTAACTGTAAATAAATACAAAAGCACTGTTGATTTTTAGTTTAGCGCAGTGTCCAATATAGGTTTTGCAGCTGTATTCTCGTCCAATGGAACAGGCCCGTGTATGAAGTTGAACCTACATGTACTTGTTAAATGGAGGCACCAGTCATTGACATAAATGATCTATCAAAGTGACATTTATTTATTTATTTATTTTTGTTTATCATTTTTTCAATTATTTTAAAATTGAACAATCGTCTGAAAAATCAACTGACGCTTATTAATTAGCTTTAATTTAGTGGTTTGAACCCAGATCAACACATTATTCATTTTGGTGGAGTAAAGCCTTAGATTTTAGGAGTATTTGACAAGGTTACCATCACACGCGAGCCGTAACAAATAGCGCGGGTAAACGTTTAGAAAATTTATCATTTTGTGAGAAGTCATCTGTTTTAATAAATAGTATGCCTATGTAATGTATTAATTCATCTCATTACACGTTTTTAAATTTTCCTTTAGGGCGGTAACACGGATAACACTAGTGAGTTGTTGCTGTTGTTGTTGTTTACTGTTTACCTGTTTACTGCGTAAACCTCAACTCCAGTAAAGTAAAGTAAAGTAAAGTACACTGGAAAACTGCGTTTTTACAGGATACAAAATATCTGATGTAAAATATTGCAGATGGCGGGTAAATCACACCCTGCTTTCAAAAGAGCAAGACTGGAAACTAGTAAAACTAATCGGGTTCAACGCATCCATGCACATCTTTTCAACCACAAAGAACTTGTATGCAAAGCTTTAGAACAATTAGAATCTGATTGGGCAGGCTTTTGTTTTGTGAAAATTCTATTTTGCAATGCTGATAAATCGTGTAGTTTTGACAGAGCCTATTGCGAAACAAGGAGGAACGTTCAGGAAAATGATGCTGACAAGCGACGTGTGATATGGATACCTGACCTATTCAGTGTGTCAACAGTCCAGGGATTCCTTGATAATTATGAAGGTATTGGGGATCAATTGCTGCATAAACATTTAACTGCTTTTGAAAAACTTGCTAAGTTTTTGGACACTATTTCAGGTAAGGACTAGGTATATTACAAAACATCTTTTGTAACCGTGGCTATTTATATAATCATATACCAATATTAATCAAAGCGCTGAAAGCACTGATGTATTCGCTGCGCATTATAAATACATGTGTCTTACTAAAAACGTTGCAATTGAAACGAATGAAGGAATATGGGCCACTGAATTACAGATTATTAATCTGATAGAGACATTATTTAACACTGGTTGTTGAATATTACATTGAAAGAGGGAAAGAAATAAGAATAAACTAAATGAGAACAACTTTATTACATTATCTAAGTGGTACAATAAAATATACATCCAAAATATGAATGCATGCAGTACATTCATGACTAGATCCTTAACATGATGAGAGAATTATGTTATAATGAATATATATACAGTAACAATACCTAGAATACTATATTGCTACATAAGCTTCAAATGTAATGACAGACAGATTACCTAGCTAAAGCATTTCAGTTCTGATGAAAAGTGAAACTTGGAACATGTTAATTTCATGAAATTTAAGAAGAAAATATAGGTATTTTTGTAAAATACTTTAATTTTAAAAATTTCTGAGATTAAAAAAATACAAAAAAAGTACTTTTAATAGTTTGCGTATTATATTTTTAATTAGCCTGTAACAGTCAAAAATAAATTTTAAAAGTCTGTTATTTACTTTTTTGCAAAGAAACATTACAAATGGAATGGGAGCATGAGGAAATGGCTTTAATAATGCAAAACAAGCAAAATGGGACAATAAGAGAAAAGGATGGTTGTAATATCTAATCTTTTTTTACCTACTGTGACCTTATCATGCAAAAGACCAAATTAATTTTAAGCGTTCTTGCACACAGTAAATGAGAATTTTTGACGTTTTCAAACTGAGTAGTTTAATATGACATTATTGAAATATGGATGACGGACAGACCAGGAATCTTTGACTGTCTGTAATAGCTGAGCTTTTGCTAATGTGAGCTAAAAAAAATAGAATACTGATGTCAAGGATGATTCAATAATATCCATATTTAAGAAAACACAGCTTTAAAACCAATTGCAATATTGATAAACAAGAGGGCCATGATGGCCCTGAAGTCGCTCACCTGTATAAAGGCCCCCGTAGCAGGGCCAGTTTAAACCCGAGGGCTTTTATTTGAACAAACTTGGTAGACACCCATTAGAAGATGTTTCATGCTAAACATCTAAGGTCTAGCTGGTTAAGTTTTTTCCTTACACATATAGTTAAAAACAATGACACACCTGGGGCAGGGCCAGTTTGGACCCAAGGGCTTTTATTTGAACAATCTTTGTAGACACTTACTAGAAAATGTTTCATGCTTAATATCTGAACTCTAGCTATTCAGATTTTTCGAAGAAGACTTTTAAGTTTTTGCTATACATATATAAGGAAATTCAATGACCCCCAGGGTGGGGCCAATTTTGACCCCAGGGCTTTTATTTGAACAAACTTTGTAGACACTTACTAGAAGATGTTTCATGCTTAATTTCTGAACTCTAGCTATTTGGTTTTTTTCAAAGAAGAATTTTTAAGTTTTTGCTATACACATTTTAGGAAAATCAATGACCCCCGGGGCGGGGCCAATTTTGACCCCAGGGCTCTTATTTGAACAAACTTGGTAGACATCCATTAGAACATGTTTTATGCTAAATATCTTAGCTCTAGCTCTTTTGGTTCTTTAAAAGAAGATTTTTTAAGTTTTTACTATATGCATATAGGGAAAATCAATGACCCCCTGGGGCGGGACCAATTTTGACCCCAGGGCTTTTATTTGAACAAACTTGGTAGACACCCATTAGAACATGTTTCATGCTAAATTTCTTAGCTCTAGCTCTTTGGGTTCTTTAAAAGAAATTGTTTTAAGTTTTTACTATATGCATATAGGGAAAATCAATGACCCCCTGGGGCGGGGCCAATTTTGACCCCAGGGCTTTTATTTGAACAAACTTGGTAGACACTCACTAGAAGATGTTTCATGCCAAATATCTAAGCTCTAGCTCTTTGGGTTTTTTAGAAGAAGATATTTTAAGTTTTTTCTTTTGGTTGCCATGGCAACCAGAGTTCTGCATGGAATTAAATTCTTTGAACAATTTTCAAAGGTGACCACCAAAGTCACGATAAGTTTATCTCATGTATAAAATTGCAACTTGCTTGCAATTTAGTAATTTTATTTTAAGATTCGTATGCTAGAAAGTATGGTGATTGCTCAATTTTAAGTCATTTGTTAAAAACATTTTCATAAATCGGAAACACACTCTATAAATGGCTTGGGACTTCATATCAATTGTGAAATTTCTTTTATTAAGAATATTACTTACTGATAAATGTTCACAAAATTGCAAATACAGTGTAAATCATAAAACAATGCTACATAATTAAGGTATTATCAAATTATATAATGATTAAGACAATGGATTGAAATGATAGAAAAACAAGCAAATGTAAAACAAGAAAAGCATTGATGCAAAGCATCAAAGGGCGACGCCAAAAGAATTTGATCCAGGTTTGCACCTAAATACTTAACAAAAGATGTGTACTTTATAGCAGTACCATTTCATGTGACCTGGAGGCTAGGCCCAGTTTAAGTTGAAACTTAAACCAAAAAGAAAAGACTCTGTCTTGCCAAGATGCAAAGACAATTTATAGTCAATTAACTAATCTTACGATTTATTTTACCAGATACAAGGATACCTGAGTCATCATCATATAATCACAGGCACGAGTATCGAACCTGGGAAGAAAAAATATGACCAGATTGATAAAAAACTGTGTTCATTTTATAAGTGTCAAAAACCAAAAAAAAATGTAAAATGTGACCCCCTTTAAAAATATACTATAAATTAACTTATAGTAAATTTTTAAAGGGGTCATATTTTAATTTCTTTCTTTTGGTTTTTGACACTTTTAAGATGAATATCAATCTGGTCATATTTTTTCTTCCCAGGTCTGATACTTGTGCCTGTGCATATAATAAAAGCTTATTGCTTAGGTTGCAGACATGTCATTGAAATATATTAGACATAAAAGAGGACCTAAAATGAACATCAGGGGGACACCATAGGTACTCAGAGCAGTAGTAGAAGGAGTACCAGCCACATCAACCAGCTGCTATCAGAGATAAGACTTGAACCATGTAAGAATGTCATTACATATGGCAGATGCTTGAAGTTCCATGAAGAAGAAGAAAAAGAACTTCTTCATGTGCAGTATAGTGTGATCAACTGTATCAAATGCTTTTGTAGATCTAAAAGTATCATGCAATACTGCCTTTGTCCATTTCAAATAAAATACAATCAATTAAATGAATCAAACATGTGTCAGTTGAAAAACCACTTCTAAACCCTGACTTAAACTGCCTGACCATGACTCGAACCCATGACTTTCAGAAGACCAAATGAGCTATCCGGCCGGCTACACATTTTCTCTTTAATAATGAAATAGTTCTAAACCACAACATATTTCCCCACTCTATTGGTTTATGTCCTTGAATTTCTGATGTTTACAGAGCATAGTGAATTAAACTCATGGTTATATGCAGTCACTGGATGAGAAAAACTTTCAGCTTGACCAGAACTTAAACCTGTGACCCACAGAATAATGTACCGCGGCTGTAAGCGATTGAACTATCTGGCCGCTTACACATTTTCTGGCCTAAATAGTGAACAGTTCTAAACCGTGACAGATATTAAGATTTTTAAATTAACAGATAATTAATTCTTAATCAATAATTAAGAAATAAAAACCTTACATACTCATAGTCTAAATTAAAATAACAATTTATATATTATGTATAATTATTTTTACTAAAAAGGGCTTAGACAGTAAACTATTGGTTGTGCCATTATTTATAACAGGTCAATTTGAAAGTGAACATAACTGTGCTAATACATGTACAATATCTATTTTTTGTACGGATAAAAAACAAACCTTTTTTCTATGATAAGAAATTTAATGAAGGCTGATTTGTATTTTGCATCAAGGGCACTGGGCGAAAACATAAAAATGCAACAAACACACCACTTTGTGTCTGGCGCCCGGTTACTTTTTTGTACTTTGTTGGTTTTCATGTGGCAAAAATCACCCGCTATAAAATTTAGTGTACAAATTTATTCAAGGGCTGCTTAAGTAACAATCTACTCTATGAAAAGTCTGTTGTCGGGTTGACTCAGGAAACCTAAGCTTGGAAATTGAGACCGGTGTCCCTCCATTACAAATAGATAAGACAGAAGCTGTCCTTTTCAATCTATGCACATGTTAGAAAAAAATTAGAATAACCATTCAAAATATGATTTTTTGAGACTTTATCAATTATATTGCTTGATCCAAGTTTCAGGACATTTTCAATCAATACATGTATTATCATTTATAACTTTAAATGAAAGTCTCATCCCTTTAATAATAATGACATAACTGTAACTCTTTAAATTCAGAAGTATTATAAGTCTCATCATATCAATATACTAAGATATACATGTATGCACATAACATTAATAATTCCCAGTTTCTATTAAATAAATATGAAATCCTAACATTAACATTGGTACTAATGGATGGAATTCAAAATCTAGTAGAATATATAAACTCTGTTATAGATACTATTATTAGCCAGCTAACACTGGGTATAAACAACTATAACCTGTAGACTGATCAATACATGTATTATCATTTATAAATTTAAATGCAAGTCTCATCCATCATAACTGTAAGTCTTTAAATACAGAAATACACATTATATCCATATACTATGATACACTTGTATGCACATTACATTAATAATTCTCAGGTTCCATTAAAAATAAATATAACATCCTATTAACAGGAATTCATAATCTTGTAGAAAGAAAACTTTGATGATCTTACAACTGGTAAATTTTATAAAAAACAAAAAATAGTAAGTAATACTAAAGATCTGAGTAGACAGAAAAGAACAAATAATTTAGTAAACATGAGTTACTTCCCCTTAAAATAGAGAAAACCTGAAACCCCAA